TTCGTGACGTTAACCTCGTGTATAAATTATATATTTTGTGTTTTTGTTTGAAGCTTGTATCGAAATTTGAAATAACCTAATTATTAGAGGGGGTTATTCATGATACACCTAATTAATCGCTTAATTACTAATTAACTTGATTACATAATTTTCATAGAATTTCGATGCGAAAGCTAACAATGTTTTCAGAAAATTGATGTAATCAAGAATAATACATGTAAAGATAATAATTTAATCATTTTTCTGTTATATAATGGAACGAAGTTAAATATTTTTCTCGGACAAAAATTTATGAAAACAGATGGAGATATTGATTATTCAAGAAAACATTATCTAGCGAGGTTGTTCAAATAGTCAACAAGGTTAGGTTCTGTGAAACGCACTACGCGAAGTGTAATTTATAAAAATCGATATACCATAACAGGTTGCATAAATAATGAATTTTTATTCACGTTACAAATATATAAATTCATTTTCTCCAGAAAATTGTTAACTTTGCAAATACATATTTTTAGTTATCTCATTAAAATCTGTAATTATACTCGTACCTAATAAGAGCACGTTAATTATTATTTTCACTTGTGTACTTAAAAAAATTCATCATAATACGAAATTAAAATTTAAAATAATACGGAAGAAATTAAAAATTGAAATAACAAAAGAAGAATCTAAAATTAAAATTAAAAAATTTTAAATAACAAAATAATTGTAGCTGCAGTTTTTTAAGGTTTCTAGTGTCCTCAAAATAATCACGATGGTTAATTAACAGTGGAAGATAATTTTCTCCAACTCTGTAAAAAATGGTATCCGAAATTGGCAGAATATTAGGCGCGGTATAACGAGGGTACTTAATAAGTACGATGAAGGCAGATTACCGTAGAAACTCGGAATTGGTAGAGCGGAGGTAATTAAGCAAATCGTGTACAAGCAAAAGGAAAATAAACGTCGTAGCCAATTCGAAAGGTTTCGAATAGCAGATAAGGGAAATTCGCGGGTGGTTCGGAATGATACGATTCGGTCATGAAACTCTTTTACCTCTAAATTTCCTAGACATCAAATTTTCTGGTTCCTAAAATCTCATATTTCCAAATTTTCTAATTTCCAAATTTTCAAATTTCCAAATTTCCAAATTTCTAAATTTCCCCATTTTCCAATTTCCCAAATTTCCCAATTCCTAATTTCCCAATTCCCCAATTTCCCAATATCTCAAACTCCCACATTTCCTAGACCCCAAATTCCTAAATTCCCTAGCTCCCAAATTTCAAAGACTCCAGAATTCCCTAAACCCCAAATTTCTTAGATTTCAGAATTCCCTAGATCCCAAATTCCCGCGTCCCCAAATTCCCTAACCCCCAAATTCCCTCGTCCCCAAATTCCCTAACCCCCAAATTCCCACGTCCCCAAATTCCCACGTCTCCAAATTCCCTCGTCCCCAAATTCCCTCATCCCCAAATTCCCTCGTCCCCAAATTCCCTAACACCCAAATTCCCACGTCCCCACATTCCCACGTCCCCGAATTCCCACGTCCCCAAATTCCCTTGTCCCCAAATTCCCTCGTCCCCAAATTCCCTAACCCCCAAATTCCCACGTCCCCAAATTCCCACGTCTCCAAATTCCCTCGTCCCCAAATTCCCTCGTCCCCAAATTCCCTCGTCCTCAAATTCCCACGTCCCCAAATTTCCACGTCCCCAAATTCCCTAACCCCTAGCTCCCAAATTTCAAAGACTCCAGAATTCCCTAAACCCCAAATTTCTTAGATTTCAGAATTCCCTAGATCCCAAATTCCCGCGTCCCCAAATTCCCTAACCCCCAAATTCCCACGTCCCCCAATTTCCTCGTCCCCGAATTCCCTTGCCCCTAATTCCCTTGCTCCTAATTCCTTTGCCCCCAATTTCCTCGTCCCCAAATTCCCTAGTTCCCCAAATCCCTAGTCCCCCAATTCCCTCCTCCCTAAATTCCCTTGTCCCCCAATTTCCTCGTCCCCCAATTCCCTTGCCCCAAATTTCCTTGTCCCCTAATTCCCTTGCCCCTAATTCCCTTGTCCCCCAATTCCCTTGTCCTTTAATTCCCTTGTCCCCCAATTCCCTTGTTCCCGAATTTCCTAGTCCCCAGATTCCATAGTCCCCAAATAATGTACAAGCAAGAGGAAAATAAACGTAGACGATTCGAAACCTTCCGAATAGCAGATAAGGGAATTCGCGAACTGTTCGGAACGATACTCGTCGTTCCGCGAATTTTCCGGAAGAAGCATTCGGATTCTGGCTACGGATAAAATTGCGGATCGATAGTTTTCGTTGAACAGCTCCTCCGGCTGCTTTGGTCGGAATAAAGCGATGGAAGCTGGAAAATTCGAGCGCATCGCTCCAGCGCCGTTTACGAGAATCTCCTCCTTGCGTGGACGCGCGAAACTTTTCGAATTAATTCACGCCATTCAACCACCATCCCCATGCTCCGCCTCGACTAATATATCCACCGTAGTCAGCGAATATATGGCCGGATGAGAATTGAAAGTAATAAAACCTCGTTTCCTTCGAACATAATAACGCAAAAAATTCGGATCGACCGAGAGAACGCTTGTACTTTAACGGCACCCTGGTGCATGTACAGTGTGGGGCAAAAATTTTCTATCGTTTCTATTATTAGGGTAGTATTGGAAGTTTCTATCTATGTATAGATTTAATAGATTTAATTTATTTTATCTTTGATGTGTACATACATCTCTGGAATTCTTAAATTATATCTCTTGTTAATTTATTCATTTATAATTTTATTGTTTTTATAAATTTATAGTAGTTTTATACATTTATTATTTTATTAATCTCTTAAGTTGTACAGCAGTTCCTATATACCCGATGACTCTTAAAAAATTTATAGAAATAAACGTCGAAAATTTCATCCCCTACTCGAAGATAATTTTACTGTTTGCAAACAGCAATTTTAAAATATTAATTAAAATGTTAAATGACTTCTTTTGAAGTTATTATTTCTCTACTAATAATTTCCACTGTTGTCTATTTCACTATGTTTATACATCACATAAGCACTGTTTATAGAATTAATTAAATAATGCTTCTTTTAAATTATTGTATTAAATCGAATGGCGTCTAAGAGGCACCCCTCGAGCGCAAAGGGTTATTTGTCAGCAGTCATCGAACACAAAAGTTATTTGTCAGCAGTCATCGAACATAAAAGTTATTTGTCAGCAGTCATCGATTTGCAATACCTTTGTCAACTCACATTCGTATCGTTGCAAGGTTTAAGCCTTACAAGCATCACAAAATGTTACGAATTGAATATACATCGTAGGGGTAGAACGAAATGCTCAACTATTACGGCTGTTATTGGACAACGCCTGTAAACGAGAATTCATAACACTCCCAGATCAAACGTCACCGAAAACCCAATCTCGTTCGAATCCACTTAACCCATTTCACATATCCAAAGCCCAGGTTCCGAGAGTCTGCTTGCTCGAGTATAAATTCATTTATTCATCCATCGCGTTTCGACCCACCATTCGGCGTCGGCAGACCTATTACGCGTACGTACTTACGTCTACCTACTGTCGTGAATTGCCAAACTCACTTACTATATTTTTATTGTTAACCATACTTTATTTTCTATGTTCTTGTTCTTTTATACTTGCTTTGCAAACTTTTTGACTTTCGAATTCGATTAACATTTATCTCTGTCGATGAGGATAAACTGCAACAATTATGAATTATTTTAAGAGACTTGACATCTTTTCAGTATTTGCTTTTCTTGTTTGTGCTATTTCTTTCAATTTCATTATGCTTGAAAAAAAATTGTACTAAAATTTAATATTATGTTAGAAAAATTTTAAGTGTTCAGATAGGAAGATTTTTTAATTTGAAAATTTGTCAGACTTCAACATGTTTGAATTTGGAATGATGAAGGATTTTAAAGGTTTGTTAATTTTGAAGTAGTTAAATTTTTTAATTTGGACATTTGGAGATTTGAAAAATTTCTATGAACACAAACTTGAAAATTCCGATAGCTTTTAATGAAAAATGAATTACAATTATGAATTATTTTAAGAGACTTGATTTCTTTTCAGTATTTGCTTTTCTCGTTTGTGCTATTTCTTTGAACTTCATTATGCTTGAAAAAAATTTTACTTAAATTTTAATATTATGTTAGAAAAATTGTAAGTGTTCAGATAGAAAGATTTTTTAATTTGAAAATTTGTCAGACTTCAACATGTCTGATTTTTGAATGATGAGTGATTTTAAAGGTGTGTTAATTTTGAAGTAGTTAAATTTTTAATTTGGACATTTGGAGATTTGAAAAATTTCTAAGAACACAAACTAGAAAATTCCGACAGCTTTTAATAAAAAATGAATTGCATCGCTGATGACAAAGATAGAAAAATTCTAAATCACCCTACTTACTCTATTTGATGTTATTCAATATTGATAGTACCTCAAAAGAAGTACTGAGGATAAACTGCAACAATTATGAATTATTTTAAGAGACTTGACATCTTTTCAGTATTTGCTTTTCTTGTTTGTGCTATTTCTTTTAATTTCATTATGCTTAAAAAAAAATTGTACTTAAATTTTAATATTATGTTAGAAAAATTGTAAGTGTTCAGATAGGAAGATTTTTTAATTTGAAAATTTGTCAGACTTCAACATATCTGAATTTGGAATGACAAGCAACTTTGAAAGTTTGTTAATTTTGAAGTAGTTAAATTTTTCAACTTGGACATTTGGAAATTTGAAAAATTCCTAATTTCACAAACTAGAAAATTCCGACAGCTTTTAATGAAAAACAAATAAGCAAAATTCCAAATCTCACTACTTACCCTAATAATGTTACCCTAATAAGTAACCCCTAATAAGTTACCCTAATGTTACCAATACTGATGTTATCAATATGTTTGTATCACGCCTACATCAACGCGTCGAAAAGAGTATTATATCAAACAAAATAATAAAAGAGAAATTCTCTGCAGAAAACTATGTATTCTCTGTTCGCAGTTCTCGGTTCGTCCAGGACGGAGGGTCGACCGCCACCATCGAGGTTATTGTTCGGCCTGTTCGCGTTTCACCTGATCGCCATTCGTTAACCGTAAAGCATTGAAATACGCGCGCGCTTTGGAGCTGTTTTATATAAATCGACGTGCTTGTAAGAAAGTCCGGGCCGCTTTGTGTGATGTGATCATCCTCCGGCGACAGACGACGCACGTATCGCGCCTCATTTTGGACCACGGTGCGGGGATGAACGATGACGAAGAAAAATGAATAAACAAATGAACAAAAAAAAAAGACAGGAAACTGCGATGAATTCCGTCGAGGATCAGGGTGGTTGCAGCGAAGAAGAGAAATGATGTCATGAGAAAATGTTTCGTGTTTCTTTACGATCAACACCTGAAAGGTATTCGTGGTCCGCCAATGTAGGAACGAAGAAACCACGGGAGAAACAGGAGAGGAATGTTTCGGGGTATATTTTATTATTAGAACTGTGTATATGTCGCTTCCTTTCGACGAGATTCATGTGTTTGCAATGTGTAGATAGAACCGTATAGTACCTACGTTTTACGACGCATCGTTTCGAATAAAGAGTGATACTATTCTTTTCGTTTTCGTACTTTTATAAACTCGAAATGACTGACCTAGTGGATATATCGTACGGGCGGTCTCAAAAATGGTGTACGAGAAATTACTGTGCAAAATGTTTTTGAGGAGATTGCTTCGTTTTTGAGGTATGAACTTCTTTTACAAGGGGTGAAATTTTGAAATTTGGTGGTTTGGGGAGGTGGAAAGGTGGAGTAGGTGGGATTTGGAGGGTTGGGAATTGGGGAGTTTGGAAATTTTTAGAATTTGGGAATTTGGGGTTTGAGGAATTTTCAAGGTTTGGGAGTTTGAGGAGTTGGGTGTTTAGGGATTTGGGGGGTGAGAATTTGGAAATTTGGGAGTTTGGGAATTTGGGAGTTTGAGAATTTGAGAGTTTGGAATTGGGGAGTTTGGAAATTTGGGAGTTTGGGAATTTGGGAGTTTGGGAATTGGGGAGTTTGGGAATTGGGGAGTTTAGGAATTTGGGAGTTTGGGAATTAGGGAGTTTGGGAATTTGAGAGTTTGGGAAATTGAGAGTTTGGGAATTTGGGAGTTTGGGAATTTGAGAGTTTGGAAATTTGGGAGTTTAGGAATTTGGGAGTTTGGGAATTAGGGAGTTTGGGAATTTGAGAGTTTGGGAATTTGGGAGTTTGGAAATTTGGGAGTTTGGGAATTTGAGAGTTTGGGAATTAGAGAGTTTGGAAATTTGGGAATTTGGGAGTTTGAGAGTTTGGGAATTGGGGAGTGTGGAAATTGGGGAGTTTGGAAATTTAGGAGTTTGGGAATTGTGGAGTTTGGGAATTTGAGAGTTTGGGAATTTGAGAGTTTGGAAATTTGAGAGTTTGGGAATTTGAGAATTTGGGAATTTGAGAGTTTGGAAATTGGGGAGCTTGGAAATTTGGGAGTTTGGGAATTTGAGAGTTTGGGAATTGGGGAGTTTGGAAATTTGGGAATTTGGGAATTTGAGAGTTTGGGAATTGGGGAGTTTGGAAATTTAGGAGTTTGGGAATTGTGGAGTTTGGGAATTTGAGAGTTTGGGAATTTGAGAGTTTAAAAATTTGAGAGTTTGGAAATTTGAGAGTTTGGGAATTTGAGAATTTGGGAATTTGGGAATTTGGAAACTTGCAAAATTTGTCAAGTCGAGAACTCCAAAACTTCCTACCAATTTCCCCTACCAAAAATCAACAAAAATCTCAAACCCTTGAAACCAATAAAAAATTGAATGAATATAAAACTACATAAATTCGAATAAAATGGAATATTCAAAGATTGCAGAATCGAAAGGTACTAAATATTTCCAAACTTCCAATGAGGGGTATGTATATTGTATTCTAAGTAGATGAAGGTATGGAAGTACGATCGAGCGGTGTATCTGGCGGCATTTTATTTGTGTCACGTAGCGACCGAATCATCCTATATAACTCGAAGATGCGTTCGATGTCGAGAGAAAAGCAGTAGAGTCAAGTATCTTCGGAGGGAGATGTTCCCCTGCTGCTCAATAATGTGAAAAAGTAGAGATGGTAGCTGAATATCTATACCTCTCTACTACCACTTGGCTCATTTCTGATACAACCCAATAAACATTCAAATTTTACAATTTCATTCTCGGCGTTTGTTCGAAATCTTCGATTCCTGGATATAAAACTGCATAAATCGTACAAAATGTGTTAAGGATTATTTTAAGTCAACTATTGTGTTAAGGGTTAGGTTAAGGTTCAACAAGGTTGTTGATAGTCGATATCAAAATTATATTGGTACATCAACTATATACATAATTATATACACTGGTACATCAAAATCTAACATGATATTAAGAATTTTCAGATTGTCATATTTAAGACAAAATTTTCACTTCATGTTCTTATATTAATAATTACAGAACTGTAATTATTAGCAAATTTGTTAAGAGGAGGCTCATTTATAACTGCAATGTCAAATAAAAATTTGAACGAAAAAAAAAAATGAATAACAAAAATTGTAATTTTTGAACGTCAGATAAAATTTTCATTGTTGTGTGAGTTCAATACATGTATGAGAGAATGATGCACCAGATAACATATTATAATAAAATTTCCATTGAAGAACTATATCTGATTTATATCTAATCATACAGATAATATTTTTATTTTACTTGTACATGTTAGTTGTGTTAGAAATTCATATATGCCAACATATGTACATATGTTCATATGTTCATATGTTCATATGTTCATATGTTCATATGTACGTATGTTCATATATTCATATGTTCATATGTTCATATGTTCATATGTTCATGTATTCATATGTACATATGTTCATATGTTCATATGTTCATATGTTCATATGTTCATATGTTCATATGTTCATATGTTCATATGTTCATATGTTCATATGTTCATATGTTCATATGTTCATATGTTCATATGTTCATATGTTCATATGTTCATATGTTCATATGTTCATATGTTCATATGTTCATATGTTCATATGTTCATATGTTCATATGTTCATATGTTCATATGTTCATATGTTCATATGTTCATATGTTCATATGTTCATATGTTCATATGTTCATATGTTCATATGTTCATATGTTCATATGTTCATGTATTCATATGTACATATGTTCATATGTTCATATGTTCATGTATTCATATGTACATATGTTCATATGTTCATATGTACGTATGTTCATATGTTCATGTATTCATATGTTCATATGTTCATATGTTCATACGTACGTATGTTCATATGTTCATTTTTAAATTCGATAAATAATATTCACACGTGATTCTCTATGATATTAAACATGTTTACAAATGTTTCTGCATATATTTAAAAATTTTTGACAATTAATCACGAATTAAGTACCTTAACCTCAAAGATTACTTACGTGAATTATGAAGGTTACTTTAATTACTGAAGTTTATTATAAATTACAAAAGTTATTAGTACATAAATCTTGCAAACGAAGCCTAAAGTGAAAAGCAGATCAAAAGACTTCAAATAAGAAGTTCTTTTTCACATATGAGAAGTGTTTGTACATCATTTTTGAGACGACCTGTATCAGCAATCTATCTTCGTCGCTCTCAATCTGAATTTCACATGCTGTCTCTCGATTCGCATCCCGATTACCCTGACATCACTCGGTTCGCCTGAAAGTACACGAAACAGTGTGCGAGGAGATGTACCTGATGAATCGGATATTCGACGAGTAGTCGCTTTGCGGTTGCCACTGTTCTCGTGTCTCCGACAAGAAGGATCGTCTTGTCGAACACAAGGAAGATGAGAACCGATCCTCTTTGTATTAGGACGACGAACGATGTCGAAAAATCACCTACTTTTTTCATCCCTCACATCGAGAGCACTTCGTCTAATAACCGACAGTATTTCTTGCCGAAAAAAAAAGAGCGCACGGGATAAATATTTGTTGTGAAAATATGAGAGATGAAAGTGAGAGAACGATAGATAATGGAAGGAGCTCGATGCGGTGCTGGATTAATTAATAAATAAAATAAGTAATTGCTATTTGATATGTAATGTTTCAACTTTCTAAATTCTATTTCCCGGATTTCCATTTTTCCAAGTCACTGTTTAGGGATTTTTGTTTTATTCAAATTTTTGGATTGATATTAGGGGTTTCAATTTGTGAATTCATACATTTTCAAGTTTTCAAGTTTTTAATTTTCCAAATTTCCAAATTCTAATTCTCAAGTTTCCCAAGACCTCAAATTCCCTAGTCTCCAAAGTCCTACGACCCGAAATTCCCACGCGCTCAAATTTCTACGCCCCCAAATTCCCACGTCCAGAAATTCCCACGCGCCAAAATTTCTACGCCTCCAAATTCCTACGTCCCCAAATTCCCACGCGCCCAAATTTCCACGCCCCCAAATTCCTACGTCCCCAAATTTCCACGCGTCCAAATTTCGACGTCCCCAAATTCCCTCGCGCCCAAATTTCTACGCCCCCAAATTCCTACGCGCCCAAATTCCGACGTCCCCAAATTTCCACGCGTCCAAATTCCTACGTCCCCAAATTCCCACGCGCTCGAATTCCCACGCCCCCAAATTCCTACGTCCCCAAATTCCCTCGCGCCCAAATTTCTACGCCCCCAAGTTCCTACGTCCCCAAATTTCCACGCGCCCAAATTTCTACGCCCCCAAATTCCCACGCGCCCAAATTCCGACGTCCCGAAAAATCGCCAAAATATCCCCAGTTTCCTAACATCCCCATTTCGAAATTTCTACCAAAAGCCCCCGAAGAACCCTCGAAAGTGCCGGTGGCCCGTCGCTATCTTAATCCGGCACTGGCTCGATGTTTCGAGAGCCAACGAGAGAAACGATCGGTCAGTTACGAAATGGAATTTCGTTCACGGGTTACGATTCGCGTTCTGTCGGGGCTCATTAAGCGTCCAAATTTCCACACCCCCAAATTCCTACGTCCCCAAATTTCTACGCCCCCAAATTCCTATATTTCGAAATTTCCACACCCCGAAAAATCGCCAAAATATCCCCAGTTTCCTAACATCCCCATTTCGAAATTTCTACCAAAAGCCCCCGAAGAACCCTCGAAAGTGCCGGTGGCCCGTCGCTATCTTAATCCGGCACTGGCTCGATGTTTCGAGAGCCAACGAGAGAAACGATCGGTCAGTTACGAAATGGAATTTCGTTCACGGGTTACGATTCGCGTTCTGTCGGGGCTCATTAAGCGTTCGCTTCATTAAATTAATACCTGTTTGCTGTTCGATTTAATGCGTTCCCCTCTTTCGATACATTTATCAGCCGCGTTTCACACGACTTCGAACGCGACCGAACGATTAAAGCGATTTGCAGTCACGTTCTGTTTACAGTGAATATAACCACGTGTATCGAGCTTACCGTTCTCTACCCCCCAGCTACCTCGACTTCCGGTCGGAATATTGTGTCTACCGGTTGCGTACCGACTGGAATATCGAGGAATGGGTACATCACGACTTTCGAATTTATTTTTAGATATCCGGTGGTTTTCGTTTATTATGGAGTAGTAGTTTTCGTTTATTATGCACTTTGGTATTGTTCCAATAATCTTTGGACATATGTAGACTGTTTGTGGTAAATTCGTAGTGTGTTGAGGAGGATTTTTTAGGGGAAAGAAGTGGATGTAGGGAAAATGGAGTGAGGGGTTTTGGGTTTGGGGATTTAGGGATTGGGGATTTAGAGTCTTGTAAATTTA